TCCCTTCCCTTCCCTTCCTTTCCCTCTCTCTCCCTCTCTTCCTCCCTCCCTCCCACTCCTTTCCATCTTTCCTTCCTTCCTTCCTTTCTTTCTTTCTTTCCTTCCTTCTTTCTTTCTTTCTTTCTTTCTTCCTTTCTTTCTTTCTCTCTCTCTTTCTCTCTCTCTCTCGTTCTTTCTTTCTTTCCTTCCTTTCTTCCTTTCTTTCTTTCTTTCTTTCTTTCTTTCTTTCTTTCTTTCTTTCTTTCTTTCTTTCTTTCTTTCTTTCTTTCTTTCTTTCTTTCTTTCCTTCTTCCTTTTGTAGGGCTTGAACTCAGGGCCTGGTCCCTGCTCCTGAGCTCTTTTTGCTCAGGGCTGGCACTCTACCACTTTGAGCCACAGGTCCACTTCTGCTTTCTGAGTGGTTAATTGGAGACAAGATAAAAGTCTCATGGGGGACTTTTGTGCTTGGGCTGGCTTTGAACCATGGTCCTCAGATCTAAGCCCCCGGAATAGCTAGGATTATAAGTGTGAGCCAACAGTGCCTGGCTACATTCTATTTTTAATGTCTTGTGTATACACTGGTGTTTTTGTCAAAATTCACTTAGTAGTACACTTGAAATCTGTATATTTTCTTTTATGTAAAATACTCATCGATTAAAAGAATGAGATCAAAAAACAACAAACCTGGAATATTTTTAGCCATTAGAACAAAGTCTTCAAACTATTTTCTCTGCTGTTGGATGTTTAGAGTTGTCACCTGCCCTCATCTGAGATATTCCACCAGCTACCAGGGCAACCTTATAGGCCAATTCTCCACTGTAGATCTCTTTCTCATCTTCTGAAAACAGCCACAATGAGTAACCTGACACTGTCATCCCTGGATCAATGTTTACTTCCCAATTCTTTCTAAAGTTCATTAGCAATTTTGCCCCATTTCTAGTACATCAGACCATTGGGTAAAAAGAATTGTTCTCTGTTCTGTTTTATTCCTTTTAATTTTTTTGTTTGTTTGTTTTCTGATACTGGGACTTGAACTCAAGGCGGGCCTTCTACCAGATGAGCCACAATCTCCCCTTCTAGGATTTTGCTGGTTAATTGGAGATTAGAATCTCATGGACTTTTCTGCCCTGGCTAGGTTCAAATCTCTATTACAGGCAGGAGCCACAGCATCAATGTTACTTCTCTGCTTGTTCCTCTCACACATCTACCGACGCATGTGCCTATGACCTATGTGTCTAGTAATTACCATCCTGTACTGATATATTCCGTTCCACTTGAATGCCATAAGTCTCAGTGAAGCTATTAATCCTTTTCAAATTTGTAACTCAATGTTCTAGTGATGAGACATACAATTCCAATTAATATCAGTGCACTTATTGGTTTGATCAGTGTGGATGTAATAGGGAAAAACCTCCACACTCCCAAGTCTTCACTTGCTCAGAGCCTTTGTGCAAGTTCAAGAAGCAATCTTGCTACTTTCTCAGTTAAATCATTGTCATTTGTTATAAATACTTTCCCCATGCTTATTAGTTTGTTTTCCTTCTGTCTGCTTCTGCCTCTCTGCGCCTGTTATTCTCTCTTACACACACACACACACATACACACACACATACACACACACACAATTTCATGGGTAGGGAGGTACTGATTGTTTTAGAATTATTTTACAATAGTAAAGTGATCTGATACAATTACAATGGTCTGTGTCTTCAATTAGTGAACAGAGACAACTGTGAAAGCCATGACTTCAATTCTTTCACAATGTCGTTCTTCTTCAAATAACAGTGATGTTGAAATATAAGTTAATTTTTCCTTTCTAACAATCATCTACTTTGTTACCTACAAGACTCTTTTTTAAACCACTTAAATCCAGTAATGGGCTTTGTAGCTTTTGAAGAGATGTGTATAAGGCCACTGATTTTTAATAAAGGCAATTTCCTGTTTTCATAGAATAATCTGAAAGCCTGAGATTCACAAGATAGAAGGAAGATAACAACCCTATCAACAAACAACACAAAGGTTTGCAAGGTGTTTGCAGGATGCGAAAGCTATTATGCAAATATTTAAGCTGGGCCTTTCCATTCTCAGAGAACACTGTCTATATATTGGCTGAGAAAAATGTATTGGAAAGCACAGAGCCGCCAGACAACACATGGCTTAGCCATATTGTTGTCAAAAAGCTGAAGTACAGCTTTGGAAGTAAGGGGTTTGCCTGCCTGCAATGGCTTTACTATTTCCCAGTAATGTGGTTGTTGTTCAGTGGTTTCACTGCTCTGCCTGTGGCAGTATTTGCATTTACATTACAGGCCATGGTGTGAAGGATGCTTCTCATTAGTAAAGCATCACAACAAATTCTGGTATTCTGATTATGGGCCGGTCTATGCTCTGATCCTGGCCTTCCTTGGCATTTTTATGAGCCACCCCCCCTGCCTTTTCTCTGCTTCCCAGGATTCTTTATTAAATTGATGGCCCTGGGTGGGGGTGCCCTCTATATAGTAGGAGCACAATTAACTTTGTAGGTATGATCAGTGACTGGGCTCTCAAAAGCTGCTCTTTTCTCTCCAAAAGCTTCCTTCTCTGGTCTTTGTAACAGGGTTGCATTAATGCTTCAAATACACTAGCTATTATAGGATGGAAATGGTAAACTGGCTAGAGTTTGGATCTGGAGTGAGTGTCTTTTAAAGGCTAGTTTCTTTGCCAGCATGTGGCACTGGAGGTATAGAATAGAACCCTTTGAAGAGAGAGCCTAGCAGAAGCAAGTAAGTTCATTGGAGGCATGCTTTTGAAGGCAACAGTGAGCACTTGATTCTCTCTTCCTACCCACCCCTCTCTGTCTGCCTCTGTCTCTGTGTCTCTCTGTCTCTGGCTTCTCCCTCCCCCTTATTCTGTGTGCTTCCATGATTCTGACACTTTCCTCCACTGTGCACTGCCATCATAAGTGCTATCTGGTCATAGGCCCCAAAGCCCCGTAGACTGAAAGCTCGGGATCCACAATAATTACTTCCTCTTTATAATTTGGTTATCTCAGGTATTTTGTGATGGTGACAGAAAGCTGACTACTGCAACACCTAATGGTTCAACTCAACGATCAATGAGTAGGATAATTCTCGGCATGTTTATATTGGATTTTTGGATCCATAGAGTATATTTTTCTTTGGGGCCAATGGGAAGCCTTTGAGTTGTGATGCGTGTGTGTGTGTGTGTGTGTGTGTGTGTGTGACTATCACTTACTCGTGAGCTAACAGGGGTATTTCTCTAGAGGCTGTAGCTCAGGTACCAGTGCTGTGTGCAGGTCATTTTATGGTAGCAGTTACACTAAAATATATATGCTAAAGGTATTCGCAAATTTTAAGATTCACAAAGCTTTTCTGTCATATCAATTGTTAGGGCCAAGGGTTTCCCACTCTTAGAATTCCAACAGTGTTTTTGAAATGGTAGATTTTTAGATATGTGTTCATAAATTAATAATGTCTTTTTTCCTCCCTCCCTCCATTTATTTCTTCCCTTTTTACATTCCTTCCCTCTCAATTTTCCTTCCTTTTCCTTCCTTTCCTGTCCTTCCTCTATCCCTGTTTCTTTTCTCTTAGTAAGGATCCTGGTCTCAAATGTATGGTTTTATATTCTTCAGACTCTTGTCATCATTCCCCATTCCTGGTTGATTCATAATATTTCCATATGCTAATCCATAAACTAATTCCTTAACTAATCATCAGAGTAGATGTTTTAGTTTCATTTTTATTTTATGCTCATCATCATTACTGGCAGTGGGTTTGAATTAAGGGACTCTTACTTGTTTGGCTAGTTTCTACACCTTGAGCCATATCTCCATTCAGCATTTCTGATGTCTAATTGAAGATAGAATCTTTCATATTTTTCTGGCCAGCATAGTTTTGGACTATGGTCCTGAAGTCCTAGGTTCCTGAGTAACTTGGATTAGAGTTGTGATCCACTGAGCCAAGCTCTATTCCCTTTTAGAGAATCATGTGTGTTCCTCTGTGTACGTTCAGTGATTTCACCTCTGATGTCATGTGATACTCATCTTAGTTCTGCTTTCAGGATCATATTGAATTGTAGCACTAGTTATAACTGTCTAAGTGTCTAGTTATAATTGTCTATACCTGGATTAAAACTGTGTAACAAGAGTTAGAATGATCTAGGGTAAAAACAATCAGTGAAAACTACTAGCTGTGGTCACATTGATGAAAAAACCTAGAGGTGATTGTTTCACTACTTTATTGTAGATATTGAAAGCAAAAATTCATTGAAATCTCACTTTAAACTAAGCATCTGGTAAAAAGTATACTAGAATGTAAGTTCTGTAGAGGATAGGATCTTTCATTCTGTTTGCTTTTTTCAGCAGTCCTGGGATTTGAACTCAAGCCCTCAAACTTACTACGCAGGTTTTCTACCATTTGTGCCATGCTCAAGCCATTTTTGCTTTAGCCATGTTTTTGGATAAGATCTCCCATTTTTACCTCCTGGTCTTGGTCTTGGACTATGACCTTGCTTCCCATCTTTCCTATAGAGAGAGCATTGCAGATGCTTGCCACCATACCTTGCTTGCTTATAGGCTATTTTTTTTGTAAGATAGCCTCTAAACATGTTCTTTCAGATCTCTAGCTCCTGAGTAGCTGGGATTATAAGCATGTACTACCATGCTCAGTTCTTTGAGCTCTCAACGCAATTCCTGGCACATGGTAAGCACCCCATAAATGCATATCAACTGTTGCCACTGCTGTCATGCTGCTGATGCATTTTCTCAAAGCGCTTTGAAGTATCCATCAGTGGTATTGTGAAAATGGAACATCTTTTGGATGCTAATTCACAATAAGATAAGAATTTTAAGAAGGTGTAGATAAATGAAACCAAACTGTCTATTAAGCAAGCAATGGAGGCTATCCAGAGCAAGTTTGTTTCGGCTAGGGCTATTTGTATAGAGCTTAACTTCAGGAGAGATTGGATTTGAACAGTGGTGTATGGGCAATGCCTCAGAATGCTAAAGATCTTTTTTTCCTTCTCAGGTGTCCTGTTCTCCCTGGTGGTGATGCTGTATGTCATCTGGGTCCAGGCAGTGGCTGACATGGAAAGCTACAAAGCCATGAAAATGAAAGAATGCTGGGAGTTCACTCCTTCTGTGCTTTACGGCTGGTCGTTTTTCCTGGCCCCAGCTGGGATATTTTTCTCTCTTTTAGCTGGGTTGCTATTTCTAGTCATTGGACATCATATTCAGTTACATCACTAAGCAAGCAGACTGTGACCACCAGTGTTCTCATGGTAGATTTGAAAACATGGCATACTCTTTGTTTCATTCATCTTGTTTTAGAAATACCAGCGCCAAATTAATTGATGTACTTTCTGAGTTATCATTTTGAATGAATCATTTTACTTCTGCTCTCCTCTGATAAGAAGGTGCTAGAAGTTTTCCAGATATGACATTTCCATCCTAAAAGCTATTGAGGACCTAGTTTCCTAGGGAACAGGTAGGTAGTGAACTTCCTGCTTATGGAGGTTGGACTTCATATAATACCATAATATGGAACAAATCAGAATTTTCTTTAAAGTCTCCTTCTTGACATCCACTCCTACTGATAAGGTTTTATTTTTTAAATGGAGAATAAGGAAGAATAGGAAATAAATGTCTGAATTAATTTCATTTTCTTCCCTACTCACATAGGGATCTACATATACATTCACTGACTCCTGAATTAAATGATCTAACACTTAAAAATAGGCAACAGTTGTTCACTAGAAGCCACAAGTAGAAGGAGCCACCACAAATAGAACCAGGAGTGTGTACTCACTCAGGATCTGGACTACAGAAGTTTGGATACCTAATTTTTTTGGTGGTGGGTTGGTCATGGGGCTTGAACTCTAGGCTTGGACGCTGTCCCTACGCTCTTCAGCTCAAGGTGAGCGCTCTACCGCTTGAGCCACAGCACCACTTCCGGTTTTCTAGTGGTTTTTATTGGAGATAAGAGTCTCATGGACTTTCCTGCCCATGCTGGCTTTGAACCGAGATCCTCAGATCTCAGCCTCCTGAGTAGCTAAGATTACAGGTGTGAGCCACTGGCACCTGGCTGGATACCTAATTTCATTCTCTTAATTATGTGCTTGCTTGATCTTTAATCTATCTTTTAAAGAAGCAAAGCTATATACCAAATGATACCTAGGGTGGATTTGAGTTATATGAACTCAAAGCAGGTTAATTATGTAATGTAATATGGTTTAAAATATGTCAAAGCCAACCACCCCGGCTTAGCACATAATTCCATTCGATATTTTAAAATTCCCATTTAAAAATCTTATTGCGGAGCCTTTAAGCATGTGAAAATGTATTGATGAAACATACTGTAGCTATACATCTCTAGCTATAAAGTTTCCAAACACTTCCATATGAAGATGTTAACAGTCTTGCTTTAGAAAAGACCATGTAATGTTAACTTTCCCCCAGGTTTTATTTTTTCAGCTCTTCTGATCATTTGAGCCCCTTAATTATTGTCCCTCAATTTCTTCATCTTTATAATAGATCTATTAACATTTACAGATCCACAATTTCCTTTAACATCCTGGAAGAAAAGGTTTTGTGAGAAAATATAATTCTTCATTACGCACTGATGTAGACTTTTTTTTTTTCAAAACAAAGATCTTCCTTTGGTAAGAATGTTGATGGAAATCAAACCCATCTGAGAAACCTAGGTAGTATTTGCCTTCTGGAAGCTTCTATCATAGAGGAGTCTGGTTAGTAACAGAACAGAGAAATGTACAGCATGTGACCTTTGTTGTGGGTTCCAAGCTTCATTCTGCAGCTGTCTGTCGGGAAGAAGGCATGACAGTGACCACTTGACGCTGCTCTGGGAGAGATGGATGGCTTCTTCCCATCCATCTGTGGCCAAAATGGAGATGCTGCCCAAACCCTCACCGAGCATCTGATATATTCTCATCAAGCCTTGTTTAGTAGAAGGGAGCTTGGAGGGATAACAAAGGTCTCAGCTCCCTCCAGACCCACTCACAAGCACATCTTTGTGACATTGGGACTTATCTGTTAAATATAACAACAACAACAACAACAACAACAATCATTCTTTAAAAGTTCCTGGGTTGAACTGGCTTAAGTGAAGTCATTTCAGTGATATTATAAGTGTCTTTTTGTGGTGTTTTTCTTTCCTTTGTCTTCTTCTGTTTCATTTTTATATTGCTTCAATTACTTCTTTGCTTTTATTTTGGCTGGATTATCAGAGAAATAATTATGGAGTTCTGTTATGCATATTGACTGTGATATTAAGTTATGGCATGCCATTAAGTTTTCCAGACGATGCTTAGATATATTTGATTAGTTCATGTCATCCGAACATACAATTCTTTTTCCTAGAACTTTGGAATGGAACCTTTTCCCAGAGTACTGTATGCCATTTAAATTTCACATGCAAGCTGCTTTTAGTAAAGGTTTGAATATTTATAAATTTCAGATGGTTACCCTCATTTTCTAATACATTGCTGTGGCTACCATCTACTTATCATAAGGCAATAGGTTGAATAGCTGGTGTGTGTGTGTGTGTGTGTGTGTGTGTGTGTGTG